ATTATATATATATATCAGTGACATCCGTATTATTATTATTATTATTATTAATATTATTATCTATCATTATCATTATCTATTATATATATACATATATATATATATATATATATATATATATATATATGTGCATTCCGGACTTTGCTTTTCCACAGTAACAAAATCCAATCCATAGAGCATTATAACATATACAATTATACAGTAAAACTAAAGCGAGAAGATAAATCCTCCTAATATGGCTCGACGTCTGTCAACACTGTAGAAATAGACAGCCCTCTCCCATTGGTAGTTTTTCCTTTATCCTAGCCCTATTTCCCACTGCCATTTTAAAAACAATAAAACTGTAATTCAACTAAGGAGATCCTTATTGAGCTTTTCCGAGAACAAATAAATTAAGAACCAGTCTACCAGATAGCATTCGCAAACTTTAGAAGGTACAGAGTTTCTTAAAATCATTGAGAAAAATAATGATGATAATGGGTCGTGCTAAAACATTGACACTTTTATAATCACCTGAAAAAGGATTTGCTTTTTCAACTCATCAACATCCGCTCCAGAGACACCAAGTTCAGAAGATAAAGACACAGGGGTGTGGCAGTTCAATTTAGCTAGCATGGATGCAAGTTGCTGCTGCAGAAGGAGATTTTTCTCCTGCAAATCATTGTTTTGTAAAATCTGCAAGCAAGGAAATATTAAGTTAATAACAGAAACAATAAAACTTAGATTTGTCAATTTTCTTGAATGAAACAACACTTTGCACATATATATATATATATATATAGAGAGAATAATGATCCTATGTGTCCCTGCCACATGTCGGCATATATATATATATATATATAGAGAGAGAGAATAATGATCCTATGTGTCCCTGCCACATGTCGGCTGCATAGGACCCCATTTTGTTACCGTCCGATCTCCATTGGCATCTCGCGGAAAGATGTAGTGCCACGTCCTTGGTAAAGTGGTAAAAATCAACCCATTGAAACGGTTAAAAAAACACACCAAACCTATCTAGTCTCACACTCGGCAATTGGATGGAGAGGAGCTCTCTGATCCGATGAACCTTCTCTCTTTCCTCTCTAGTGGATCAATTTGTGGAAGAGAAAGAAAATGTACTTAAAGAGAATCACAAATAAAGTGGGTTGATCACATAGAAAAAAAGATAGTGGACGAATTAGAGAGAGTAAAAAACATAGAGATAGTGGATTTGAAAAGAGAGCAAGAGAAAGAAGGGGAAAAGAAGTGAAAAAGCCCAGTCACCATTTTCTGTTTCTGTACCCTAAAAAAAATTTGGGCTCTCTCCCTAGTTATTGGAACCACGATTCTGAGTCTTTGTGTTTCTTCGTTAACATGTTTGCTTCTGTTTTAGTCTTATCATTCCAATTGTTCTTACTTTATTTAACATTTTTAATCTCTTCTCCTCTTCTTAAGCTCTTTAAACTCAAGCTAGAAATTTCAGCCACCATAGGTTCACCTTTTCCTCTGATTCCTATCACCCAAGTGTATTTTCCAGTGGCATTTACGGCCACTGGTCATTTTTCCAGTGACCCACTTGTTTATTCAGCTGTTAATGGTGCTTTCTTATAATTGCCTGCATTGGCATCGAAAAGGAAGAGAGAAAAAGTTTTTGGGCTTTGGAAGAGGGGAAGCTCGACCCAAATCCAAAGACTTTTTTTTTTGGAACAAGTAACAGGAAAAAAAACCAAAGACTCTGAGCTTAGAGTGGATCCTCCTAGTGACCACTAGGTCATAAATTGTCCATCTCCGGTTTTCAAATATACCAGTTTTTGTGGACCAAAGTGTAGTTTTCAAGACAGCAGCAGCAAACCCTGCAACTAATGAAAGCTAGTCTTCCATTTTTAATGAGAGAAGCCAAAAGCTTTCAGGCCAAGAAACAAAGCTATTTTCGCAACAACCAGCTTTCTCTCTCCACCAAATATCTTGTTAATGAACAGACTAACTTTTCTTCCATCAAAACATGCCGCATCGTTTCCAGTGAGAGAAACAACGAGCCCAAAAATGGAAACACAAAAGAGAGATGAGCGAGAAACTACTACACGCGCATTTCTAGTGAGAGAAACAACAAGCCCAAAAATAGAAACACAAAAAAAGAGATGAGAGAGAAGCTGCTCCATGCTCCTTCATCCAAACTCAAGAAACCAAGTACAGGGAGCTCAACAGATGTAAAGCAACAAAAATAAAATATTAATTTCCTTACCTTTACCATTTCACCCAATTTTACCGGTGACTTGGCACTACATGTCTCTTCGAGATTAAAGAAGATTGGACAGCATTAGAGTGGGGTCCTATGCAGTCCGCATGTGTGAGGGGCTCATAGGATCATTACTCATATATATATATATATATGGGTGCCATTTGTATAGAGCCAAGGCTCTAAACAATCAAAGTAAAGCGCACCTTCAATAGTATCGAGAAATGTGGTTTTAATATTGGAAATCTTTGTGAAAGCTTAAAATATATTTTCATCTTTAATTATAAAATTTAAAGCTTCAAAAATAGTGTAGAATCAGCAAATCCACAAAAACATGAAAATCTTGAAAATTGACGATCCAAAAGTGTGTTACAAGATGCTACTATTTCCAAAACTTGAAATCCATTTTTTTTTTCCTCACGTCCAAGTATCTTGATATCAAGACGATCAATTTGAGGATATTTGGGCATCAAAACAACCTCTTCTAATGAAATTTTTTAGGTCGGCTCTAATCTCTAATTTGATTGTTTAGAGCTTCGGCTCTCTCTCTCTCTC